CATCGCTTCCACTTATCACTCATCTCACTCAAACCATCTGAAAACCTGTCAACAAAAGATTGTCTTACAGTTTCTCTCCTGGAGCTTGAGCAGCTGCCAAATTGAAAGTCTATGACAACCCTAACATACAGTTACAGGTTAAAAACAACATACTCCAGTGTTGTATAACTTTTTCAAAGCATCACCTGGCAACACGATCTACTTCTTTGCTGTACATGTATTCATAACCCCTGTTGTCCCTGTCACAAGTATTGCTTATATTTTGAAGCTCCGAAGCTCTCAGATGGTGATGACGGTTTATGTGCTCCATTATACCATATTTCAATCTCAAAGAAAGCAGCCTGTCTGTATGAGACGGAGCAGATTTTCAATTAACTCCAAGGTAAACCCTTCTGGAGCAAGTAATTGAAAAAACAGTTAACAATCAGGAATCACAAAGGATACCGCTGTCCGTGTCACATAAGCTACTGAACTAACTTAATAGCCATCTTTTACTAGAGTAAACCTAAACAAGTAGGTTAGTTTCCATTCACAACCGTAACCAAGAGCTTACTGTGACCATAGTAAAGGGTCATCATTTGAAGTATATGGCAACCCAATGCTTTTTAAAGTTACGCCAAGGGGTCCTGACCAAGAGTCACTAGGTGATGAGTTTAAAAATGTAGAATGTATTGGCAAATCCAATTCCACATCATTTAAAATAAGTCTTCACCACACAGTAGCTCAAAGCCCAATAATTAGAGCTCAGTAAAAAACAGAGGTCTAATCCAGGATGATCCTTTTACAAATGTCCTCAGCTCGATCTTTCCCTTTCAACATTCCCCAATAAAGACTAAGGATTATGCTTTGACCCAAAGTCTTCCAACTGTTGAAAAACACATTTAAGAGCCATATTTTGGTGCAGTTCACCGTCATTACAATGAAGTGAATGGACCTAGAGTTTATTATGAAACAACACTGCGACTGGGTTATAAAATATAAAAAGGAAATGTCACCCTGATGTGGATTTTGAAACGTTGTATTTATCACTTTAGTGTTGCTTTTATATTATAAACTAACAGTGGACTTCAAGGTCTAATAGGATACTTTTGTTGTTGGTTTTGTTTCTCGTAAAAATGTAAAATAATACAGCTACATCCTTTGACGTTTTTCATAGTTGAGCTTTTGATACATGGATTTTATCTGAATGCAGTACTTTGTTGCAGTGATGCATGCTGGGCTGGATTTAATAGGGTTTACTGTCACTATCATTTCACCTTTATAGTATCTCAAATAGCAAGCAGCCAACTAATAAACTGCAGCATGTATTTTAAAACGTTGGTATCCTTACTGCTGAAATAAACAATTTCTTTCGACTCTTGGATTCTATTAAACATTTCAATAGACCGCAGATTTATGCCTTACATCTTGTTGCATTTTACCCCGCTTATATGTAAATGAGTCTGCTAGTTTGCGTCAATAAATATCTGAGTGGTTTTCCCACACTCACTGGTCTCAGAGTCATTAATCATAAAGCGACTTATGTTACCGCCTGTGAAGTTACCCTCAGGTGGAAACACCTTTAACAAAGCTCAACCTGCCTGAGGTTTTCTTTCACTGTTACATACAGTAAGAAATGTAAGGATGAAATTCAAGCTGCATTGAAAAAGTTTTTGCTGTGATGCAAAAGATGTGATTTGAGACAGTGGTTGTCAAAGTGGGGTCCGTGGCCCTGTGTCAGGGGCTCTACAAAATCATGGTTATATATTCATTATGAAATTGTGCTGTATTAAAAGTGCAAATCTACAGAGGACAATTAAGGCTATAAAGCAGGCATTTTGTGTCCATTACTCACACTCGGGTGAGCTTTAGGGCAACAGAAAGTTTTATATGATTTCAACACAGCCATTCTTTTATTATTTTAGGTTGCAGCACTTATTCAGCCTTTGACTGGTAAGCTTAAATGTTTGAACTTTGTTAGGACTATGCCAGTATTGCTACTGCTTATGTTCTGAAAACTGAAGAGGTACACATATTCAAACGTGTAATAACAAACCATCATATTCCTTTGAAATTCATTCGGAATGTTCTGAAAGTGTTCGAAGAAGCGAATAGCTTATTTTAAAACCCTTTCCTTTATTGCATATGGGCCTACACAGAGAGAGTACCAATAAAGGCAGAGCAGGTATAATCCTGCTGAGATTTGAATCAGCCTTGACAGCTCTAAGAGACCGCAGTGAAAAAAAGATGGTGACGGCCAAACTGCCAAACTCAATTGTACGAGTAGTCCTGGAGTGTTTCATTAGCAGAGCCAAGACTTAAATATGACTTAATTTTCTATTCTCTTAGTGCTGCTGTGCAACATTCAACACAATTGTGCAGCACTTACAGAGGACATATTATGCTCATTTTCAGGTTTCATATTTGTATGTTGTGCCTCTACTGTGAAATGTTTACATGCTTTAATAAAAAAAATTGCTTTATTTTTCTCAGCTGCAGTACCTCTTTTGACCTTCTGTCTGAAACCACAGCACAGTCTGCTCTGATTGTTTAATTGGCTTTGTTGTGATTGGTCAACCGCTTAGAGACATGAGACTTTGGGATTTTAGCCTTTGCAGACCATTAGCGTGCACCAAAAAACCTATTTATGTCACATCCTGGCCCTGGCTAATTGCCTCACTCCTGACACCTGATGTGTTTCCTTCCCTGTTAATCACCTGCCTTCAATGAGCCTCAGCTGTCCCTAATCATTACTCCTCTCCTGTGTATTTAGTCTGTGCTGTTGCCTTGGTCAGTGCCAGTTAGTCTTGTCTGTCTTGCATGAAGTGCTCCAAGAGACTCTCCTGAAGTAAGCTACAGTTCTAGCTGTTAAGCGTTTTCCACCAATTTAGTTGGTTGTTTTTCGTTGCTTCCAGTCTGTACATTTTGGATCTTTGCCTGTATTATTTGTTCCTTTTTGATTAAATGCTTGACTAAACCTTTTTGCCTGGTTGTGCTCTTGAGTATTTAAATGATTCTAATGGTCTTGAATCACATATTGTAGCTGCCTCCATCAACTGAGAGCAAGATTTAAATAATTACAGAATAAAAAGTGTGATGTGCTGGCAATTGAAAAGTGAAATTGCTTTCTCTACATCTTGTAACATGTCATTGGTTGTTTACAGAAATATCTGTTTTATGTGACTAACCTTGCACAATATTTGCAGGATTTATCTCTCACGTAATTTGGAATAAAACACACAAATTCAGATACCTAAGCACTATTATAAATGTAGTATAGCTATGCACCTCAGCTCATCAGAAGAAAAACTGCCCCAACTGCTTTCATAGTCTGCCATTATGTTTTGATCAAACGTTGATATAACTGGGCCATCGTTGCATGGTAAAATTACTTGAAAGGAAATGTGGCTCCTCATTTTCCACTGGCATGCTCAAAGCACCACCTGGGTTCATCCCTCATGGTAATTGTCCTCTCTCCCCCTCCCAGTCATTCACCATCTCTAAGAAATGAGGGGCTTCATTTGTTTCAATAGACCATAAATCATCGCTGCACGTTGGAAATAAACGATAAAAGATCTGTCTTCTCAAAATGATTACCACATATGATCACCTGAGCAAGGCACTAAACGATTAAAAGGTGGTGTTGTGCGCTGTACAGCCTGCAGTTGTTTCATTGCATTTTTTGACATTTATGCCTTCTTTACTTTTAGTTTTTTCTATGCAGGGGTTTCAAATGTGCTTCCTCTAGTATGCCGTTTGTCATACAGTAGTTGTGAAAAGTCTGCATTTTTTCCATACTTTGTACCACTCCACTGTATTAATCTCACCCTACACTGAAGCACTTCATTGGATTAACCCTCCCTGGAGACGTCTGTGATGACAGTGGAAGCCTCACCTTGAAACTCAAAGTCAACCTCCCACTGAGACCCAGTGTGAACACTCACACTGGGTCTTGCACACTGCCATGCCATATATAAACTGTATATACTCTACGGCTACTCTTTAGTATGCTAACATATGACGGCACCTTCGGCTGTCATTCTCATTAGTGGCACGCTAGTTAGCTGATTATTCCACTTGTGTCAGAGATATCGGCCCTAGAAAAGTCTGCCTTCTTTCAAATATGATAGGACAAGATGGCGCTCAGTTGTAGCGCTCAAAGATGCAACAAAAATAATTGTAAAAACTCATCAGCAATGCTTTTTTCCAGGAAACATGACCCAGTTACTTAATATGAGGGTTGTGCAATAGGTCACCATTGTCAGTATGTGCGTCTGTGTATTGTGTTTGTTCAAATGGTGTATGACTGATGATATGTGTATGTCTCTTAATGTCCACTATGTTTGTATATGTACATGTATGCGGAACTGCAGGACGGAGTCCAGAACAAATTTCCTTACGGGGACAATAAAGTCTATCGTATCGTATCGTATCGTATATAATCTACAGGAGTTGCTGTGAGCAGTTGAATGTAGGAGGTATTTTCTTTCTACCGAAAAACACCTGCCAACAAGTGAGCATGGTCCCCTCGTGAGGAGATCCACAATTCCTTCTATGGGTGATACAGATAGCGGGTGTAGTTGAAATTCAAATTAGTTTGGGCGCTTTGAGCAGCACAAGCCGAGTGCCAAGTACTTCCATTATATTTGAGAGAAGGCAGACATTTCTGCAGCACATTCTTATAGCACTCCCATGCTAAAACAATCTAGATAGCACTCTAGGTAGGAAGAAAATGACCAATAAGTCAAAAAAGGTCTTCAAATACAGCTCTTTCTCCCTCGGCCAGTTTCAAAAGTGAGGACCACAGATGGGTCACTCTCATATATTATTCCACAACGACGAATAAAAGCTTAATATGAAAACGCAGTCTGATATAAGTCTGCAGGGTATTTACTCAATCTCTTTTAAGTGCAGTTCCAAGTGAAGTGGAGCACCGAAGTGGAATTGTGGGGCAGAAAATGAAACAGCAAGAAAGAGAAGTGGAAAAAAGCAGAGCCAGTGATGTGGATGAGTAGATTTACCTGGCCCAGAGCAAAAGGACGCAATCACAGCCAGTATGCAGACGTAACTGAGGTAGGGCATCCATGACATACTGTCCTGGAACAAGAGTGCAAAAAGATGATATTTCAATGAACAAATTGGTAAAAAATATCTAAAGTCAGCTCTGAGTAAGTGTATAAATATATAAGGGAATTGATTAATTGATTGCCGCATCCTATGTCTATTTTGTTTTTGTTCAACAGCCAACATCATCCAATAAATCCAGGAAAATGTCATCAATACATTAGTGTGTGAAAACAACCGCAGTAGAGACACCTTGTCATTTAGAGCAGTGGTTCTCAACTGGTGGGTCGCGACCCAAAAGTGGGTCGCGGACCCGTTTCGAGTGGGTCGCGGATGTGTGAGTGAAGAAGAAAAAGTTGGAAAAACAAAATTGGAATTTTTTTTTTTTTTTTTGGGGGGAAAAAAGTCAAACTTTTATTTTGAAGGCCCGATTTTCTTCTCAGAGTGTACCAGAATGCGTACTGTAGTTTATGTTAGTATTTCTAAAAATCTCCTGGGGGAGAATCCCCCCAGACCCCCCTGCTTGGGTTGGGTTTCAGCATGTGTGCCTTTTTATATAGTTCAGCTTTGATTCCATCATCTCATTAAACATTTTTTAAAAGCATACTTTAGTTCTGTGAAGGGATATAAGGGATATATGCACTGTACTTCACTTTTATTAATATTGTATGCTCAAAAGCGTATATATTACAGCACGATTTTTTGTTGAATAGATTTGAGTGCTTCAAAATGTTGGGTCGCGATGTATTGACCAAGTAAAAAGTGGGTCCCGAGGCCTGACCAGTTGAGAACCACTGATTTAGAGTATGTTATAAATGAGGTCAGTGAAGAAGAGGAAGAGTGGCTTACCTGGAAATGAAGGAACACTGTTAGTAGGCTGAAGAATACAGCCATGGAAACGAAACCAAAGATGAGCAGGGGCCTCCTCCCGATTCGCTCTATCACTAAACCCTGGGAAGAGATAACAACAAAAAAAAGAGTTTTCAAATAATAATTTGTCTTTACAATGACTGTGTGATCATGAACATATTGCAAGCAGAATCACACTAGGGATGGCAATGTCACTTTATGTAACAGCACTGAAACGTCTCAATATCTAGTAGGTTTCTGATCAAATTGAGTACAGACATTTATATTCCCCAGAGGATGCATCTTACTAATTAAGGTGACTGTAACCTGTAGTGCCACCATAAGATTGGCCTTTTAGTTTTTTATCTTCACAACATTTCGATTTTTATCTTGAAAACTTTTGATGGATTGCCTTGACATTCAGTACAGATTTTTTTTTAAAGCTAGGCTAAATGAAATGCTCATTGATACTATGGGTACTTGTAAATGTCTATAACTATGTAAATGTATCCTGTAAATATAATGTATGATGTCCTTTATTGTTTTATGTTTCATGTGGAACCTATATGCTGCAGGTCTCCCTTGAAAAAGAGATCTATGATCTCAATGGGACCAATCTGGTTAAATAAAGGTTTGAAATGACAGATGTTAATGATGCCCAGAGGATGAATCTTAATAACTGTGCTGATCAATTCTTCATATCATGCCATCATGAGGTCAATGTTCCTATGACACTGGAGAATCCCCTATACATAATACATTGTACAGTAGAGATTTACTCACACACAATACTGCATGTGTCTCATCAATAATTCTACAGGCTCTTCCAAGATGTCTTTCTTCTTTGGTCATGGATTCATTGGGGGAAAAGATAGAGCCCGGAAAAAATGTCCCCCCCCCCGGCTTTTCCATTGTGACTCCAGAACATTATAGTATTCATGAGTTTGCCCTCAAACTAGCCTAACCAGTGGCATTTTACCAGGTTGTGGATAAAGGTTACTGGTATATGATCAGTATGCAGACCTGCACCGAGGGGCTTCTGAGTGTAACAGGGAGGAAGAAAATAACTTGAGATGTTTTTTACAATGTGATTTATGTGTGGTGTAGGAGAGGTGCTTTCTCCCCTGTTCCTAAGAAAACAGGATCAAGACTTTTCCACAGGTCTAAGTTTACGTTGGCAGCAGGTTAAGTGTCTGCTTTAGTATTTGCCTCCAAATGCATTGAAATTCCCTCCCTCCGTGTGCGTGCGTGCGTGCGTGCGTGTGAGTGCTTAGTTTAGATCTGTTTCGAGATAATCCGCTCAGCACAAAGTAGTGGTTTCCAGGGACTTGTGTGCCCCTGTGTGTGTGTGAGTGAGTGAGTGAGTGAGTGAGTGAGTGTGGTCCCTGAAGACATTGGGCATTTATGTGCAGCCACACACAGACAGAAGCACACACACACACACCAACCTCCCGCAAAGCTGCAGCTCGTTAAGGACTCCATATAAGAGGCTGAATATGTATGGGCGTGTGTGTGTGTGTGTGTGTGTGTGTGTGTGTGTGTGTGTGTGTGTGAGCCTGAATGATTAAGAGTAGGGACAGAAGTGAAGTGCCTGTCGACTATAGGAATGTGTGTTATTTCCATTAAGAGCAGAGTGCTATTGTTCAAGTCCTCTATTCTCCCATCCAGGCGTTCAGTGCTCTGTACCAATGAATGTCATTGATTAGCTTTTTGTGCACGTGCACCTACCCAGGTGTTTCATATTTCGAGCACATAAATATAATTGTTGCACAATTAATCGAAATTGTATCGAAATCGCAATATAGAGCTATTTCAAAATCGCAGTGCTATAATTGTTATATGCTAAATATGTCCACATACCACCTTGTATTGTAATCCTTATGTGTTACGGTGCTGTAGAGAAGCCCCTTGATATAAACAATTTTCTACAGACTTAATTAGAAAATCATTGTTTCGCACGGACCACATTTCAATATATGTGTTCAATGATTATGTGAATAATGTTAGAAAAATTGTTATTGCCTCTAATATCGCAAATCATTTTGCAATAGCAGTATCAGTTTAAATAATCGTATATATAATAGTTATTCTTTTTAACTCATGCAGCCCTTATAAATGACACTGAACTACTCTATGAAAATAGAATAAGTGACGATAATACACCATCATCCCACAGATCACTACAGAAGTAAGACAATGATATTTTTTATATTTCTTTACACACTGGTGACACTTAACCTTGCAGGAAAAGAATATTAAGGATTTCTAAGACTGTTCCAACCCTGTTAGATGAGGCTCTGCCGTCTGAGCATAGCTGAAGATAATGGCTTGTGTTTCTGCTTACACACAATGTAATTTGCAGATAATCTCATTAGTATGGCATGGAATAACTTCCACTTCCACAGGCACAATGACTCATGCTTCAAAATCCATCACAATAAACATGAAGCATTTGTTTCGCTTTGTCACTGAGTATTTTTTTAATTTCCTTGCGACCATAAGGTCATTTTTGTATTCTGTGATCATTTGTTTGTGTTTATACTTGCTAAAGGGCTTCAGAGTGTGACGTATGTGATTTAATAAGGCACACACTCCACAGTTCTTGTGCGTTAGCCAGCCATATAGTGACAAATGTGCCGGAGTGAAAGGGTGACGGCCCAGTAGGGTACTAAGAGGAAGGCAGGAGGTCAGTGGGTAGCATGTTTGTTTTTCCATCGTGTGTTCCACAAAGATGCCATCATAGCTGTTTCAGGGGAAAACAATAGGAACAGGAAAGGGAACAATAATAGACATTTTCAGCTTTGTGAAAAAAGCGATGATAAACAAGTGCTTGGTTGATGCTCAATGATGCATTCAAATGTGTTGCGAAATTAAAAGGCAGCACACATTTCTAAATGGCCATTGGAAAGAATAGATGTAGAATAGATACAATTTCTCTCCAGGGGGCTCGAATTGTGGTGAAAATGCAAAGCCTCTCAGATCCGACATGAAATCCATTGTTACTACGTGTTTAATGACGTCACTGTTAATGACAGAGATGGGGAGAACAAAAGGAGAAAGCATGGAGGATAATAAGAGAGAAAACTGGGGCTGGACGTTTGTTCTGTATATTCACGACCAAAACTTGATTTCTCGAACTCTAAAAGGGCAGCTTCCAACAACGATTATTATACAGTGACAATTTACATGATACATTTAGTCAGTGACCTTCCTCTGTCTACAGGTGTTTACATTGCTGAAAAATACAATAAATCAATAAAAAGGCGGACGGACTCTTCGTTCCCTCCATTTATATCTTCCACACCCACATACTGTTATTCCATCAGCATGCATTGTTAGACTGAAAAAGCATGCTTGTGTGTGACAGGGAGGATGCAAATACAGTAATCAAACACATTTAAAGTTTACAAGAAGTGGAACATCATACCTGCAAAATAAATATGTTGTCCTTGTATTGGAGGTGCAAAATTGCTGTGAGCAAATAAGATTAGACAAAAGGTGTGAAATAAGATTGGGAACAGATAAAATGTCTGCTTGTCCTGGTATGCACAGTTTAATGATGTTACAATCCAGGGGGGTGGTTATTGAATTTAGGCATTCATTTAGATCAATTACCACATAAACTAATTATTGCAAAGTCCTGTGAAGGACATTTTTAGTTGCATTACAGCCTGTTTATGTCCGATATCCGGTTCAATGTTGTTTTCTGTGATGGCGCATAGTGATGAGTGACAGAGCTGGATAGCATCCTTTACACAGATTCAATGAAAGGTGTGCACTTTAAACTTTTTGTAACAAAAATAATGGGAAATCATTTTAATAACATTACATTAAATTATGCTGGTTCAGGCACAGTCAATTCCAGTTAGTCACCAAAACACACCCATATTGATTTAATCAATCAAATGGCATTTTCTGACTAGCATGATGGAGTTTGCTTCAAATTCCATGCAGGCACTGAATGTGCTTTCTATTCTCTATTCTCTGGGGTGGAAAGTGGAGAATTTCAATTGTACTGTATGACACTTTATATTTTACTCCACTTCATCTCAGAGGGAAATATTGATATTTTTCCAAACCTACATTAATTTCATACATTTTGCGGATATAGATTATTAACACAACAGATTAACCAACTCATACATTATTATTATTATTAAAGATTAAGCTAGCCAATGAAAACAGTATAAAATTAGATCAACCCTTCAACAACTGCAACATTAAAGTGATGAAAACAACAATTATAATCCAGAAACACAATATTATTCTAGAATGGGCTTTTCTGCATAATGGGTCTTACTTTCCCTTTAGAGCAATACAAGGTAACATTGTGTCATCTGGGTGCAATCGACGAGTCCTCCCGAAACTCATAAACACTTAATTAAGAACAAAATAAAAAAACACAAGCATAAATCTTTCCTAATATTTAGCGGGTCCCCTGTCCCTGAATACACGTTAAGTTTCTTTTGAAAGGGCTTATCAGAAATGTTTGCCTGTGTGTTGCCAGCTTTGTGTGGTTTGAAAAGGCTTTCGTAAATAACTGAACCTGGAGCTACAACTTAAAGCACACCGTTGTGCATCAAGACCTCAGGTTTTGGGGATTAAAACTCACCTTTAAAATGTTGCCATCTAAATGAAAAGTCACATTTTAAAGCCAAGTGTACATTTTGATATAAATATCATAAATGAATGAGGCTCCTTAAACCGCAAATGAAATGAATCTTTCTCACCGGATGTTAAAGGGATTGGGAACATGACGCTCATACCAATGGTGTCCGTTGAATAGCAATTCAATATTAATGTATGTCTATAAAACTCTTGAGGTTGCCCTCTAAAAGGAAGATGTCAAGTACTCTGCTTTTACCCTGAGGAAGTTTTGTCTGTCTTAGTGTGACAGGGGTTGAGATTGTACAGTCCATATAGCTTGTTAAGTGTTTTATATACAAATGAATAAAGCAAAAGTGACTTACTATTTTTATAATTAGTAAGTCATTTGTTGGATTAATTAATTAAATCAGTTCCACAACCGATGGATATGCAAATGTCATTATACTTTGTTCAACTTATACGTGTATGCCCGATAGCAATGGCTCATAATGATCAGCAGTATATACGTTTTCAAAAGACGATGGGGGGGTGACTTGATAGGGTGATGCTGCAGGGCCGAATAAAAAACTGATATCTGAAGAGTGCACACTGTTGTTTGAAGTGAGTCACTCGGCAGCTCAGTGGGGTCCCCTCGATGCCGCAGATAAAATACACTTTAATGTGCTTCTGCTCAGAGGAACCACATCATTTGATAGAAGTCCACACAGGGGTTTTACACTAATTACATGAAGACAGATGAGATCGACTGCATCTCATGAGTAAAGTAGCATTTATGCAAAAATTCCAGATACTAAAGTTTGGTTTTTGGGTTCTGGAATGAAATACGCTGCAGCTAGTTCTTTATGCATTCACATCACATCTCAAGAGCACAGAAGACTAGGCAATTTAGACCAATAAAACATTTAACAGTGACAGATTCACAGTTTATTTACTCTCAGTTGACTATGACATGGGAAATTAAACTGCAAAAAACTCATTAGTGAAAACTTATAGTGACTTATCCGAGCGGCCCACATCGTCCGACCGGCCCACTTCAGTACCGGCCCATCGGGATTCGTCCCGAACGTCCCGCTGGCCAGTCCGCCCCTGGGCCCTCTGTTTCACGAGCGTCGATGGGGGGGGGGGGGCTAGTGGAGCCTCGCAGCGGCGAAACCGTGCCGCGCCACACTAATTGCGGCGCATAAGCGCATAGGTGCGCCGCATTTTCGGCTCAGTTGAGGCTCCCTCCGCAAGGTGAGGTCCCCTCTGCAAGGTGAGGCCCCCTCTGCAAGGTGAGGCCCCCTCTGCAAGGTGAGGTCCCCTCTGCAAGGTGAGGTCCCCTCTGCAAGGTGAGGCCCCCTCTGCAAGGTGAGGCCCCCTCTGCAAGGTGAGGCCCCCTCTGCAAGGTGAGGCCCCCTCTGCAAGGTGAGGCCCCCTCCGCAAGGTGAGGCCCCCTCCGCAAGGTGAGGCTCCCTCCGCAAGGTGAGGCCCCCTCCGCAAGGTGAGGCCCCCTCCGCAAGGTGAGGCCCCCTCCGCAAGGTGAGGCCCCCTCCGCAAGGTGAGGCCCCCTCTGCAAGGTGAGGCCCCCTCCGCAAGGTGAGGCCCCACGCAATCTGCGTGATCGGCCTGTAGGGAGGTACGGCCCTGGGTCCATGTTAGAATAGATCTGCTCCTTCTCTGGAGTTTTTACAGTGAGTCACTGTTGTTGCAACTGTCAAGCGAACTTTAGCACAGGAACATAAATACTATATATTCTTTTACCGGAGTTGCAAGAAAGGATCCTGAAAACGATGTATTGATGTGGTCGAAAAAAGGTTTTCAGTCATGAGGAATTCAGCCTTCCCTCAAGGTGGTTCCAAATCATTCAGTGTATTCTGAATCAATAGCTCTCTGTTATCAGTATGTCAGTATTCCTGCAGCAGCGGTTAACTGGATTAAAATTGAATGCAGCAGACTATCGACTCCTGAGCTCTCGAGTGGATGCCTTGTGTCAAAGTAGTTTGTTGCTTAGGAATGGAGGATATGATGGAGATAAGACTACAATGCTACTTATCTCTTGCTACTGCTATACATGTTTGTGAGGTTTGAACATAAATATCAGAAAAGTAGCTTTATTAGTGTTTTTTGCATTAGAATTAGGATACAATATTGGTTTGGGAAATGTGAAATGTGAAATGGGAATAAGGATCACATCTTTCTCTTACTGTATGGAGATCATGTCAATACACCACAACGACCAATGATGATATTTTAATGTCAACTGTTGCCCATATGCAGTTGTTTGCCTCTAGATGATAATCATACAGAGAAGAAAACTACTGCTAATTTTTCATTCATTTTCATTTGACCCTTTTAGGAACTTTTTCAGAGACGAATCGGAAGACATCAGCATTACAAATAAAGCAAAAATGAAGTAAGACAAATATTTGGTATGTGCTCCCAGTCAAAATGTATATGCATTCACTTTGGGGTTGCCATTTTATTCAGATTACTGTATTTGCCTAACTTCGTATTCATATTATAAGAAGAGACGTTTCGTTTTAAGCTACAGGGCGAAACTTCTCCCTCCTGTGGCAGTGAGAGTAATTACCCTACAGTATGTACATATTATGGCAAACCATGTTAATATCAAACCTTTGAAAATGTAGGTATTTAAATAGTAAAAGAAGAAACAACAGAAGTTCAAATAGCACGAAAATTAGATAGGATTTCTTCGCAGAAGAAAAGTTAAAGACTATTACCCCTGAAACCAAACATCATACACTTGTGTTATTTCTTTTTCATTCAAAGAGCAGTCTTACGCCCAGTTTCAGACAGGTTCAGTTGATTTAAAATGGGAATACTCACCGAGATGATGGCTGCTAAAGTCTCTATGGCCCCGGTGGTCAGGGTGATGTAGGGGATAATGTTGTCGGCAAAGCCTGCGTCCCGAAGGATCCTATTGGTGTAGTACCAGATCTATAAAAAATAATATATAGTTCAATATATATACAAACTATTTGTTTTAAAGATTTTGAATAAGCTGAAGAACTGATCCTGTGACGATGCTTTCATTGCAAATTGTGTCAGCTGTCACCTTCAGAATCAGTTTCATTGCTGCACAATAAGCTTCTGCAACAGCACCAAGTCTCTGTCTGACTGTAGTATTTACTGGAGGCATTTGACAGGTCTGATGATCAAAATAAAGACCTCCAAAGTGATATAAATTAAATTCCTGGCTTCATGGAAGGAAAGTGTATGCAAATTAAGTCTTGCCCATATCTATGATAATAGAGAAGGAGCTTTGGGATTTCTAGCTTTTCGTATTACAGTATTGCCAAGAGGACCGTCAACCTATCATAATGGAATATTTGATCATGAAAAAATGGAGCTGATATTTATTCTGATCATGGTTTTGGAGCAAGCTTACGTATACCATTTGCATGAATTTTAAATATGTCAGTCAAGGATCAAGAGTCTTCTTTTAAAAATGTAAGTGTCAAAAAGACCGGCTTTGGTTGCATCCTTCCTGCTCGTCGATCCTTATTTAATTATTGATCATTTCATAGGAACAGATAACATAAACATAGACAGACTGCAAACAGAAGTTTCATTTCAGCATCGGTATGTTTGGCAGATGGTAGTTTGCAACAGTCCCTAGAAGGGCTTTAAGGAAAGTAGGAGATGAGAAAAGTTAGATGAAAAAAGTTTGAGAAGAAAATACATAAACACCTCAATTGAAGGATGGCTCCACATCTCTTCCCTCAACAACGTGCATGACTGAGTGACCTAAAGTGACCTCTCCATGCCCACAGGTACTTAAACAGAGGTGTGCTGGGCACATTTGGAAAGATACAATCTATTTTAGAAAAAAACGACTTAAAAAATGTTAACGCATAGCCTTATTGAATAAAAAGAAAAACGAAATGACCCTATTTCTTTTTTTTCTTTTTTTAAAGAGTCAACAATTACTGGGTCACACCTGTGCACTGCAATTTGCTGCTACACCTGATCCACTGACAAGCGGTAATTTTGTCACTAAAAGGACTCTGATAGGACAGAAGAGAAATCAGTCCTTCAATGCCCAAAACGGATTTAAAATGTTTGCTTGGAGGTGTGACAGAGCATCTTTAAGAAAGTCTAATTGCAGCATGTTTGTCACTTAAATGTTTTAAAGGAAGGTTGTCCTGAATTTTGCAATATTGTTTTTTTATATAATGCTTAAAACATTTTTAAATGATCAAAAATAAATATCAAAGACATTTCTGATTTTTAAAAAGTAATAATGCATTCTAAAGAACAGGATTTCATTGACTCTCTGAGTAGTGAGATAATAACAGGGTCTCACAGCGTTCAGGCCGCAGAGCTGATAGCAGGCCATGCAGACGATGATGGTGATGAGCTGCCAGCGAACAGCCTGGCTTCGCAGCAGCTGCAGCACAGACGCGGTGTGCATGTTGTCCTGCGCACGAGACTCCGCATGGACCTCCTCCAGCTCCTGAGACACGTCTTTCTTCCCCAACAACCTCTGGAAAGCTGACACAGAAACACACACAGTGTTAAAATTATCCAAAGATAAAAGCAAACATCATGCTGAGGTCAAAGAGGATGAGTATTTATCCAAAGGAAATTAAGACTTATCCTTGTAAATAGATAAATTAGTTCAAAACTGAACGCTAAATAAGACTAAATTCAAATCAGATTTTCTGTATTACACTTGTCTTATTGAGTGAGTATAAGACGCTGCATATTTGTGATGTGTAATGTGTATTCTAACTGTGACTTGTGTTCCTTAATCTGACCTCCATAAAGTGAGTAATTTGGGTAATGCAGGCCCTCGGTTCCCAGGTGACAGGCTGCGTGATCGGTGCGGATATTTACATTTCCCAGTTGAATCGTTACTGGAGGGGGAGAATTTCTGCGCAAAACAGAATCAGCCAACTTAGTTATTGTAATGCATGGCTTTGTTTATGCTTTCAAAGTGTAGTCCTTTGACAATGATAATTAGTATGTGTGGTTTAAATATTTTCAATTTTTAATCTCACCTTTTAATGTTTTCACAGTAAAAAAAGGGAAATATGTCAATTAGCTACTTTTTACTCAAGGTTGTAAGTGGAGTTACTGACCTGGGGTGGCACTAATAAAATACATAATGAGTGGGTCCAAGTAGTGTTTTTTTTAATGAGGGATGGCCTTTCCAATTGGGATTGCATTCAACACATAAGTTAGGCCTCAGGAATACACATAATACATGTTGATGAGAACAATTAAAATAAACACAACTCATTGCTAGTTAGGAAACTTCACAGGAGTCCTCCAATTGTAGTCAGAGGGATTTGTGACAAACCCTGAGGCTGCATTGTGGTCCCGCCATGTCGTCAATTGAAATGCTTCCTCTCAGATAAATAATTCATCAACACTATATTACATTTTATTGAAGCCCTCTTTCTATCTGCTAGCCACAGTAATTGAAGGAAGTAAATGTTCAAATATGCTCTATTGTTTATTATTGGCCAGAGACACTAGTTTCCACTACAGCGCGGAGCACGGTTTAAGAGGGCTGTGACGTCAGCGGCCCGTCTTTGGTTGCGTTTCCACTTGGCCTAGTTCCGGCTAGCGGGTCCTAATTCACAGTTTTTCTGGCCTCATAAAATCGTGGGTCTAGGGCCAGGGACAACAAGGCTGAGTCGGGCTGAGTATGCTAAACTAGAGAGAGCATCGCTGGCAAGGGGGCTACAACTACAACAAGATGGACATATTTGACCGTGATTTAATTGTAATACACGTTTCAAAATGATGCCGAAGTAACAACATACTGATACCGGTTAGTAAAAACCATGAATTAATGCTTTGTCAAGTCTGCAGACAGACAGCAGGCGAAAAACCTTTTAAAATGCGTGTTTTCTAAATGGAGATTGGCTAAGCTAACGCAGTATATGCTCCGACCGTCCACACTCACAACGGCCTATACAGACATAAATAAAGCAGCGACTGTATTCACCATGACACAGGCAGTCTGTGGTTTGTACTTGTTTAACTTTTGTCTAGTTTCTGAACATATATGAGGAGCTGTGAGCTCTGAGTGCTAACAGCTAACGGCTGTGTTGTTTTTCTGGGGTGCTCATTGAAGATGACGTCACGGCTCCGCCTACACTGCGTTACTATAGATACTACCCCAGTTCCTAAACTGTAATGGAAATGCGCCATAAAGTGAGCCAGTCCTAACAGGGCCTAGCCATACCGAGCGAGGCCGAGCGAGGCCGTGTAGTGGAAACACGCCATAATAATATCCTTTATATCAGCAATCATTATCATCTATAATTCAAAGCCGTTTCTATGATGAAACAACTTATTTTATTAAACGCTCTGCTAATGTTGATGAAAAATTCAAGCGTGCACTTTACTCTGCATCGGCCGATCAGCTTGCAGCCCCCTCACTATGAGTTGGACCCTTTACAAAAAAGGCTGTTTGTTTTCCTGGTTCGTTAATGGTGGAACGAGTGATATCAGGACAGCAGAAAGCCTACACATCTTCCGTCGCAGACTGAAACCCACCTGTTTTGACTGCATCTTGGCCAATAAAAGAAAAGAAAATCATACTCTTTTATGTACGTAGCACTTTAAAGGTTTGGCTTTAATTGCAATAGCACTTAAACTGGTTTGGACTATAGATCGCTAAATGTACCGGCAGGATTCTTGCTTTTGAGTTTGTTTTTTCTTGGTTGAATGCACTGAATGTAAGTCGCTCTGGATAAAAGCGTCAGCTGAATTAAATGTAATGTTACGTAATGAAATGTTATAAACGTTACAAAATTGTCATTAATTATGTTTTTCAGTCAAAAGGCGGACAAAAAACAGAAATACATCGATATTCAATATTTGTATGTGCATAGCTGAACGGGTTTCTAGCAATCATTTTCAACTTCACCAGTTGAAGGTTGTTTGAACTTGAAGGTGATGGACTGGAGGCAATTTGTGGGTCTAAAGCAACCTCTTTACTCACTTTAATCCCTTTAACTATCCCTGGGGTTATGGGAATTGGAGGTGGGTACAGGCTAAGGACTCGACCTAGAATAGCAAATCCATATACAGTACACCGAGCAGGACTAAAAGCAGGTCATTAGGATGTGGTGGAGAGGGGCGAACAGTGTGAACAGGGACCACCAAGTGGGCAGGAAGATATGTCCGGGTCTCTAGGGTGGCATGAAGGATGTGTGTGTCTGCGGTTGCAAATACAGCTGTTCGTGGTGCAGTGCACAAGGCAGGAATTCGATATTGTATGTCTTGGAAAAAAAACGTCACGCCAAAAGGTTTTCTTCACCATAATGTACCTATAATTGATATTCAACAGATGTTATGTACAATCTGCACCCAGGGGAAGGACTGAAACAATACTAAAGAGTTGCATATGTCACATACTGTAACATATAAGTCCTCAAAAGTGTTGAGTTCAGAGAAAGCAGGACTCATCTTTGTAACCATGTTTTACTGTGTTACAAATATTTAGAGTTCATTTCTGTTAAAGGGCAGCATCCATAAAAACAACCGTCTTACCATTTTTCAGTTGTGAAAATGGTAAATATCTAAAAACAACTACAGTGATGTAAAAAGGTACATCTTAATTTTAAATAAAGACATAACAAGACAAGAGATGTATTTTATCTCATGTAAAAAACATAAGGCACGAGAAAAGTGTATTCAGTTGAGTGCAGATCCCACCATGCTGAAAATAACCTTCTGTCTCCAGAATACGTCAATGTAATTATCGCCGGGATGAGGATATGGAAATGAGTGTTCAATTGCTTCTCCCTGCTGATAGAAACTATGGAAACCTGCTCCAATCCAGGATCATACTGTGCTGTCAGCTGCTTGACATGATATTGTGTCAATGGTGTGTTTGTAGAGACATGTTTTGTTGGCAATTATTGTACATTGGATTTTGCGTATCATGAGCGGGACAAATAAAAAGGAAATGAAATATTGATGTTTGGAGATGGGACGTGTGACAGTGCCTTTGTCCCCACGGATGGAAGTCTCTTTCATTTTCCCTGCAGGAGGAGAGTTGGGCTCCGCTCCCTATCATTGGTGTGGTGATCACTAGCAGCACACCAGTCTGACTGATAGACCTTTTGAAAAATGACAACATTGCTCTGGCATAAAACTAACATTGACACAGATGTTCAATATTTAAAGAGTTTCTGAACGGGATTGAAAATAGGGTTGATCTGGAGGCATTTTTGGTTTAATTCTTTCAAGGCTGCTCTATATTTCTTTGTATTATTGTCAACATGTCCCATAAGAAGACCAAAACAGAAATGCATAGTCCGTATATACAGCAGTTTCCCTACTCTGGTTCTCAGCCCCAAGCCCATTAGACCATACTGATGCTGCCAATCGTAGTGTAAAAATATATATATACTGTACATCACTTTTTTCATAAGTTTGAAGTTATTTTCCCAAAGCAACGGGGAAGTATAGTTTGTGGTAGATGATAGTCTAACTGGAGTAAGTATTGCATTTGTTAAGCAGAGAGATCCTTTTCAGCTGCAGATTTGTTCACATTTTATGCACTTTAGTGAGTTGTTAAGGGCACCCAGATGGACTTATTGGGATTGACTCGAAAATAAACTGATAGGGTTATTGATAATTACCATTTTCATTGTAATTACCAATCAGCTGTATTATGTTGTGGCTTAGTGAAGAGCTTTGGTAAGAACATTTTATTGATTTGTCTGAAACTGCAAAACAAAAAGACACAAAAGGACATTGCTGGATTCAATCCCACGCTTTGCAGTAGGTCAAAGACCGTGACAAAAAACTTTTGTTACGGTGACTGAAACATCAGAGAGCAGAGAAAAAGACAACAAACAAGTTTGAGGTATAATCTGTGATTGAAATGGGGTCTTGAGAAGGTGAGACTTCATGTTGTATCTTTTAGATTAGCCTCAACTGTGTAAAAGGTAGATGTACGCCATTGGTAAAAATCATAAACGAGAGAAACAGAATACTGAATACAGTGGAGTCGAGGCTCCTAAAGTTAAGTGCAGTTCTGCAATTCCACTGACGGCCTTTAGCTTACAAAATGTTCCGATTCTTTAACCTGTGTTTTCCTATAATTGGAGCGCAGGATAAATACAGATATACAACATGACAAGAGACGGGATGGGGCTCAAGAGAACACGCTGTTCCTCTCCGACAGTGTGTGATAATAGGACACTACAGGGCCACCCTTACAAGTATGCTGACAACAATTCCCCAACCGCAGCGCTGTAACACAAGATAAAACATAGATCTGTCGCGCTGTTCAGACTCAGGCAAAATGTTCTTTTGCCAGACACTCATCTTTCCCTCAAGGACCTTTTCAGACTGCCAGTCACCATCACCTTGGAAATTGTTAACAGAAACTTTTGTTACGGTTGTAAACTTAAACTGTAAAGTTCTCTTATTGCTCACTTCACCTTTTGTTTGTTGTGTAGGTTCAAAAGAGAAGTAGCACATTTCCTGAATGCAATTTGTTGAACAGACTCACGGTTGAA